AAAACACAATAAATTCTCTCTGGAGAAAGCCACCATAATCCTAGGTAACAAAAAACTTCCCCAAATAATTTTATAATAAAATTGAGTAGCTAGTAGACAAAATCTTTCAGCCCCAAGGAAACTAGTCACTGTGAGTGAGAACTTGCTACCCCTACACCAAGGGGACAGAATCAAACCTATAGAGAATATGGACAAGTAATTTTGAAACCTGTGCTTATTACTATTTCAAGAAATAAAATACAAACTTGAAAATATGAACAGAAAACAAGAACCTACAAAATTTTGAGAAGATTTGCCAACTTAAGCAAATGAAAATTTTAAATGAGAAATAATAATAAATTAAAAACCCAATGAGGTGCAGATCTGCAGAGTAAAATGCGGAAACATACATTCGCATGCCCCGCCCCCACACACACACATTAGAGACTTGGTGAACTGGCCTTTCAGCTTATATAGATCAGAAGTTGTAGGAGAGGAAAAAAGAAGACCAGAGCATACATTGCTTAATAACTTACAAAGTTAGCCCCTTTATAAAGTTGGAATCCTATCTCAAATGACCCTGATCCTCATCCAAGAACGTAAGGAAAAATTGCCTGCCTTAAAGTTTGGTGTGGAATAAAGTTTGTGTGAGAGGTCCAATCATGACATTTCATAAGAACAGGCTAATCCTTACATGAATTTGTAGCTCAAAGTCATAACAAGCGGTCGTTTGTATACAAATGTTTCTCTCTCCAAACAGAAAATCTGTGCGCTGAAATAGATTTTCCATCCATCCCTAATATATACTATCCTTACTACCATCAGATAAACACACATAGGTGAATGACTAGGCAACACTAACAACAGTCCTACACTAGTGTGTATTGGGAGGAAACTCAAGGAGATAGGAGTAGATGCATGCCTTCTTACTGCCTATTGCGTTCTGTGGCAGTACATATTGATTCAGCTAGGCTGAGTGCCAGAACCTTATAACTTATAATATGAGGAAAGTGTCTTCTCCTTTGCTGGAGAGAAATCCTTTTACAACAATTCAACACACTGGCCTCCGTCACTATTCTGCTAATGCATCACCATGGCTGCGTCAACAATCCCTTCCTTAGTTTTATCAGAGTCTTCAGTCAGGCTTCGTGGTTGTGGCTACATGGCACAGCTTCAGATTAGTTGCTAGCAGTGATCAGTATTTTATCAAGTTGATTTCCTACATACTTACTTGCATGATTTCTATGGAATATTTTCAATTCTCCAAAAATTCTTAAAAATCTTGTCGTACTCACAGAGGAAGCATATGACAGAGTTATCTTCCTTCAGGTGTGTGACAGGAAAAGGATACAAGCATTTATCTATACCACCCTATGATACTTTTGTCGGGACTATTTATTTTGGTACTTAGCTTTTAACACCTTGAGCAGTTTCAATATATTTCTTGTTTTGAATCAGCTCAATTATATTATCTGAAAATAGATTACCTTTATGTTCTCTCAAGAAACTATCAAATTGCTTGGATCTTAATACATTTTTATAAAGGAATTCAGTGAGTTTCAAAATACTACCTGTGACTTAAGATGGGATACTATTTTTTATGAATAACCCATCTTTATGGGGAATGTTGTTCACCAAAAGTATTACAATATATTGGCTGATTTTTTTTTATCAAGTTAAGATAGATCTTTTTTAATCAAGTAAAGCTAGTTCATTTAAGATTTGGTATTCAAAATAGAGGAACAAATGATTTTACTTATCTAAAGGTAGACTAAAACCCAGTTATCAAACTGTATCTATCAAATAATCAACTAATTGACCCTAGGTAATTGTTATAACTTTTCCGAGTCACAACTTCCTCATTTAGAGTGATTATAAAGACCAGGCTCAGGTGCTCTATGTATTGTAAAATTATGTGAACACGTCCTATTGGTAGCATAGCAGTACTAATCCTGTTTTATATTTGAAGGATATAGTGTTTCTCTAGCACCATTTATTAACTCCAAGAGACATATATATCCACTATTAACACAGGATTTACAAACAAAAGAGGAAAATGCTAAATAAATAATAGGAAGGGAAAATAAACCAACAGATAGTAAATGTTGTTTTGTGTCACCTAATATTTCATAGTGTTTGCATATTCACTCTTTTCCAATAAATTGTAATAATGGCACTCTGAATTGTACATTTATATAAATAAACCAAATAAATCTGCCAAATAAGTCCATGTGTTCATCATGGTCTGCAGAGATCTAATTGGATTTCAATTTGTGAAAGAAAACTTGATTAGCAAAATATATCATGACAAAAAAATTTGAGTATGTACTCAGAAAAATTACAAAAGTAATCATTTAAATTTATCCACATTGTGATTTAAAGTTTGTTTATAAATACTATATTTTGATATTTACAGAAATCATGTGAGGTAGGCAGGGTTGACATTAGCAGTTTTATAAAATTTAAGTGTCGTGACCAAAATCATAGAGACAGCAATGTTGGACACAGAAGAACCAGAGTGTTCTTAATCTAAATTGAGTATTCTTTCTATATTTTTCACGCCACCACGGCAAATGAGATGAATATAAGGTTCTTCTATTTTGTTCTGGAATGTGTCAAAAACCTAACTCATGAGGCTAATTATCATTAATTTATCAATTTTAAATTTAGAATTCCTTTAAAATATTATTAACTTTGTTAATAAAAACAAACTGATTAAACATAATGGCAGCAGTGAACTAACTGAATTTTTGTAAGTGTTAAGAATTCTGTAGCTTAAGTAAAGCAACTCAGTGATAGCTATATGGATGAGTTCTGTTATGATTTGACTGTTTTCTGTGAGGAAAAAAAAAAGAACTAGATCTGGAGTAATTACCACCATGTTTCAAAAGTAATTATTTAAAATAAAATACAAAATAATTTTAAATTAGAAAAATAGTTCAACCAAACATTCTCTGTGGTTTTTTAAAAAGTAAGAAATAGAATTAAAGTGACCTTTATCTTTTGTATCTTCTGTTCCTTGAAGGGTAAAACAAAACAGAACAACAACAGCAACAAAAACACTGAAGAATCTAAAGAGTTTCTGATACACACAAAATTATCACTTGTGGGCCACCAGTTCTAACAAGAATTATACTCTGAGGGTTAAATTGTGCCATATTAGGATATTCTTTATTGTTCCTGACCCAGTCTGCTTTTTACAAAACCTGGTAAGTTTAAAAGAGGGAATCAGACCTAGAAAGAAAGATAGAACCTAGAGAATTTTTTGTTTTAACTCAGTTGCCAGTTAAAGTTAACAATATTGCAACTCAGGTTAAATTTTTACTAGCACACTCAAAGAACTCAGAAAAAACATTTAACAAAATAAGAGCATTTTCCAAGGACTTATTCTATGAGTCCCAAAAGATAAGTGTAAGCAGAAATGGAAGAAAAGATAGATCAACCCAAAAACGCAGGGATAACATGGGAGCGAGGAAACCCTGAACATGGGAGGCCAAGACCTTTATAAACCTTGAGTTTCAATAATAAACCCCAATTTCAGTGAAGTTCCCTGAAGAATCTAACATACAAGGACAAGAGAAAGAACAGATATATCTGAAACGTCTACTACATTTCAGACTTGGGTTTATTTTATATTTAAACATTCAAGTATCCATTAATTGTCACCATACAAGAAGCTATCTTTTTTCATGTGGAAATGTTGAAAATTAAAGACTTTTAAAGCTTGCCCAGGATGATACATGCAGCAGATATAGGACACAGAAGTGTCCATTTAAACTGAGGCTTCAAAATAGGTAGAAGTCTCTGTATTCATTCCAGGATTAAAATGGAGACTCAATCCTCTCTGAGAAAAGTAGCATGCATGTTGGAGTTTTCCACTTCATCAAAGGCTATATTGACATTAACTAGAGCAACTGGACTTCTCCCAGAAATTCTTGGGAAACACATAACTGAAAATTTCAAGGATGAAAAGTAGCAATATTCTGGGAGGTTCTAGCCATACCTTGCCTTTTGCTACAAATCATCTCCAACTTTTAGTTAAGAGTGGCCCAGGTGTTCAAGCAGTATATTGATTATTGTCACTCTTTTCTTTTACTTTCAATGAAAAGCTTCTTAAACCTTGGAGACATGAACATCCCTGGTTCAAATACATTAGCTTTTAGTCTTTTCATGATTTTGAGTATTATATCTAGCATCTTAATACACTGTTAGGATTACATCCTCTCCCCTACATTCCACTTTCACTTTCTGCAGTGAATTTATATTACACTATTATATTGCCAACTCATTTTAGGGGTTACCTATCCCTAACATGAACGTATTTTAGCAGCTTGTCTATTCCCAAACACGAAGTTTTATTGAATAATTGGAAGTTAGCTTTTCGATTCTTTGGTTTGCTTCTCAATGCATTGCCTTCTTTCAAAAACATAATTACATACATTCTCTATCAGATTCTTAGTTGGTTCATTTTCTTCTGCATCTTAATGTTAGGTATTCATTCTATGTATTTATTCAACTCTTCTCTAAGCATCATATAATTGTGAAATAGAATTGCCAGCCCCTAATGTTATCAGCAAAATCCATTAGGTAATTTCTGTAGCCTGAATTGCCCCTATCTTATTAAAGCCTACTGTCCCCAATGATTCTTTTCTAGCTTAGATAATGTTCTTTAAAAATATAAGCAATTATAGGGGGGCAAGATGGTGGAGAAGTAAGGAGCTCCGTACTTGCACTCGCGCCCATACATCACACGGAAAAGATCTGAAGCCATTGGAAACCTTACAAAACCTGAGAGATTGGAAGAAAAAGGACGCAGAATCTACTGAGAAAGTCTTCTAACGTGAATGCGAACCGGGGAAGATAAAATCGGGCGGGGATCAGAGACTCCAGGGTGGGAGGCGATCCCCCTCTGCCCTCTACGGGAGTGAGAGGGGAAAAGGAGAGAGTCCGAAACAGAAAAACCTCCGCTCAGGGGGAAAAACCTCCGCTTGGGGCATAGAAAGACCATACTTGCCAAATACCTGCACACCGGGTCCCCTCGCGCCAACTGGTCCCGGGGGAGCTAAGAGCACAGACTGCTTCTTTGTGCTGCTCCTGGAGGCTAGACTTCAGAGTAGCAGTGCGCCTGCCGCCGTTGTCCTCCCAGGCGGCTTGGGCCCCAGAAAGAGCCGGGCGCACGGACACCGGGCATCCGCGCTCCTGGCGGGCTGGAACTCTAGAGGGAAGGCAGAGAGCTAAAAACTGGGAAATTTGCCTGTGAGTTTGTGTTTCGGGTGAAGAGACATAGAGGGACCCGGTTTTCCTCACTCCAGCGGGCTCGGGCTCCGCGCACCTGGCAGGCAAGCCCCCGCCCATGCCTGCCAGCCCGACCCAGAGAAGGAAGCAGCGATTCTGACTCCGCCCCCAGAGCTCGGCAGGGGGCCTGGAATTGCCCGAGGGGGTTGCCTGGGAAGCTGTGTCTAAGGCAATTTCAGCGGGGCGCGCGGACGGGGATTTGGAGATTGGAACTGGCCTGGGTTGAAGAGTGCAACCAACTTCGGCTGCGCCCCCGGTACAGGGAGTTTACACGCCCAAAAAAAAGAGGTGCAGCGCTTGCTTCAAGAAGGGACTGGAGCACCGTCCCTCCCTACAACCGCCGAGGCAGAGCTCCCGCCTGAGGCATTGGATCACGCCACGCCCATCCCTGCCTGAGAGCTGCCCTCCTCCCTTTTTTTTTCTTCTTTTCTTTTTTTCTTTTTCTTTCTCTTTTCTCTCTTTTTTCCCCAAACACTGACCTGATTAACTCTGGTCGCCGGCTTGCTTAAACAATCACAATGAGTCCATTCTATAGATGTAAATTCTACACCTACCGACATCTTCATCTCATTCCCTCAAGAGTAATTACACTATATAGTTTCTCTGGATAATTGCAGCACCCTTCTCTCACCTATCCAACCATATTCTACCCTTTACCTCTTTGAAAAAAGCTTCTTATCCCTTCTGCCTGTTCATT